AGACCATTTGTCACCAGCAGCGGAGTTCGTCGAGGGTGCCCTCTCACCGTTCCCGATTAATTTCGTCGTAGACTAAATACTGGAGAACGCACTAAGTGGTCTCCAAAACGTAGATATTAAATGGGCAGGTGGAGAAAAGCTGTGCGATTTAGAGTACGCCGATGACGTCGTCTGTCTGTTCGAAAGTATGGAGGACGCAAAAAGCGCACTTGATTGACTAACAAGTGCAGTTGCCGCAATCAGTATGTGCTTCGCACCTTCAAAGTGCAAAGTAATGCTGCAGGACTGGGTATCGCCTATTCCCGCTCTTAAACTAAATGGTCAGGGATTGGTTACGGTGGATTGCTGCGTGACCAATGACAAGCAGGGCAGCAAAGGAAATAACCACCCGCATTTCCAAGGCTCGAGCAGCGTACGCAAGATTGAAATACCTTTGGCGTAGACGCGACGTTTCACTGAAGTTGAAAGGTCGTGTATATTGTGCTAGCGTTCGTTCAGTTCTGTTTTATGTTTGTGAGACCTTAAATTTGCGAGTAAAAGATATCCGTCCGCTAGAGGTTTTCGATTATCGGTGTTTACGTAGTTTAGCCCATGTGGGATGGAGCGAACAGATTAGTAACGTGGAGGTAAGCCGCCGTGTGTTTGGGGGTCTGTCAGGGATAAACCTGCTATCACACCGAATTCAGATTAGTAGACTTTGCTGGCTAGGGCACGAATTGCATATGCCTAGCCATCGTCTACCGCACCGCACTTTATTCGCTGTAGCTAATTCGGGCTGGAGGAAACCGAGTGGAGGTCAACAGATGACACGGAGACGAGGCATGAAGAAAAAACCGAGCCATTGGGTAGAGGAGGAGTCTCTCGCCTTCCACTTTGGGGTCCAAAGGACTCCATAACCGGTTGGTTGGAGACATTGAAGGATATGGCAGAGAACCGACAGTAGTGGTGTTCTTATTGTCATTTCTTATCAGGCCAGAACGCTTGAAACGGTATGTATGCAGAGTTGGATTGTGCACTCAGTGTTAACCATAGAAGTTCACTTTCTTCTCCCTCCCTCAAAGTATGTTCAATCCCTGTCCACCCTAAATTTTACCACTGATCTGGTATGCATTGTGAGTTTCGCAGCGATCAGTGAAGTTCGCTTCACTGTATTTCACTGTAAGACCATGATGATGATGATGCCAAATAGAGCTGCTGATCCCTGCGACGCCCAGGAAAATGAAAATGGTTGTGTTTCTTACACCTCTTCTTGATTGGTTTACAATCAGGGTTTTTATTCAACTCCCCCACTTGAACTGCCAATGCTTCACCGATCTTGTAGTAGTCCCGAAAGTTTTCTTTTCGTTCTCTCTTGTTGGTTAGAGCATACCTCAACCACGAGTAGGCCTCCTCTGCCAAGGCTATTTGGGGTTTTTGGTCGTATGGGAGCATTTCGCGAGATGCAAGGGAAGGAGGAACAGCTGCAACCAAAGCTTCCCATCCCCGACTAGGCTGAGGTTTTTGTAGGCGCATAGTAAAAACTGCTTTTTATCAAGGAAATCAACTCATGATTAAGCTCTATCTCATAAAGGCCTTTCAGATTTGTACTCTTTTAGGATTTGTTCAGAGCTTGATGTTCCCGGCAATTAGGCCGGTTGTTGTAAAATGCTGTTTAAAAGTCACTTTACTTGAGGTATTTATTTCGTGTATCCAATGCGTAAATTTGACTTTCTCTTTCAGCTTTACGTTTATCTTGTATATGCCTTATACGGGTTCTGAAGTCCATCTGGCACCTTCAGATGCCAGACATAAGTTACAGATGCGCCGACGGCGCCAGGAATCCGGTCACAATCGACGTCAGCTTACTGATCTCATAAAACCGGAATCTGAAGTGTTTGACCGCCAATTCAGAGGCGGAGCGAAGCGAACTTTCGAATCGGGTTCTGCATGGGATCGAAACAAGCGTTCCTTTCCTCGACATTTTGACTCAAGTAGGCGACGAGAAAGAATCAGTCCGGAACCATATTCACTGGAGACATTTTCGTCCATCGCCAGTGCGGTAATCCCTCGTCTAAATACGCAACGACCAGGGTCACCAACTGGTCTGCCGAATACATCCTTCAGATCATCGGTTCGTCTGCGTGGCCAACAGTACACTAGGCACGGGAGAAATGATTCTCGAGCTGTACAGCGTGATAGTAGCAACCCATTGACCTCGCTTGATCTTAGCAATCCTCAGCATCTTCTCCTATGCTACAACCAACTTTACCAACAGTACTACAAGTCATACACTGCAGCAGCTAATGCGGCTGCTTTATCGTTTTCAAGGTGAGTTTCTGTGTCTTAACTTATTCTGGATTCATTTCAATTATTCAGGATTTTCCTTTAGTTCGTAATCTACTCTAATATATCCAAATGAGCGGCCAAAAGATGGTAACCAAAGCCTGTGCACGAAAATGGGTGGTTAATGGTTGTAAAACTGAAATGAACTTATATACCTCCAAACGTCACAGTTTAATAAAATCACTCGATCTAGTGATCAAAGCCGCCGTCGTTAGTTTGCGTTGGTCTGTGCTTCCAAGATTAGAACTTTGTCAATCACGCGAATTTAAGGAAAGACAGTTTCGTTGTCTCCCGGCTTGAAGCCGTAAATATCCTACTCGAGTCTTATGTGGTTTGCCATCACAAGGATTGTATTGCCAGTTCTTATGATTATGCAGTGTTTTTGTTTTCGTATCCATTCTTCTACGCATCGCGCTGAGTTCTGCAACACACATTTAAGGTTGCACCCATTAGACGATTTGGGTGACCATCGCTGATGCACCTCTTCCTTTTTAATTGTTCATCTACTTTTCATGCCGCATCTTTGTTTTTATTCAATCACCGAATGCTATTGTTTCAATGAGCGAGGTTGCTTATTCTCAGTAATCTGACAAAGACCGGTTTAGCCACATCGTGTATAGACAATGGACTAGTGTGATTAACTATCTGGTGTTCAAGTGGATCGTGTTTGGGTTCTGTTTATGAAGTCTCGGAGTCGATGCGTTTTTTTCACTGCTGATGATTCCCAGCAAGGTTGGAACAGCTGTACTGTACTTCACAGCTTTTCATGTCCTCTCTCCCTCTCGCTGTCTCTAATTATGGCGGACATTCTATCCACGTGTGAGTTTGAGCCAGGTTCAATATCCTGATTGAGAATTTAGAAATGAGCATATTACTTGTGAAAAAGTAAATGTGTACACATAATTCAAACGAAAAGCTAGGGTAGACCGTACAGTTGTTTCGATCTTGTTGTGTCTCATCATTTGGATGAATTTTATTAATTTCCAGTCCCATTTATGATTTTCGTGTTTTGTTGAAATTAATTTTCAGCACCTGGGAATATAATTGCTTTGAGCGTTAGTTGTTGCTGACTCTGCTGGTCACGTGAATATCGTCTTTCGTAGCAGTAAGACATCTTATTTTGCTTTTCATGACACTCCATTGGAAGTTTTCTCGACCGGGTTGTGGATTCTCTTTTTTCATATGCAGCTAGACTTTCACTTATCGAGAATCCATACTCATGGCTTTTCTGTGCTTCAGCGGTGTATGTCCCAATAATCCGGATCTGATGAATGCTGCTGCTGCTACTGCGGCCGCGGCCGCTGCACAAGCGTCCGCAAAACTGCCTCCGGATCTGATGACTCTCGCCGGTGGATCGACCAGTTCGTCCTCACGTTTCGATCGACGATCACGGTTTGCAAAACCGTTTGCTGCACCGAAGCATTCGCGCAGCTCGACTCGTCACCGTGGCGAGAAACTCGACACACGCAGTTTTAACGATGTCCGTTCGGATACGGAAACGAGCAAGAAGAAAGTACAGACACGTTCACCACGTTCGCAAGTCTCTCGAAAGTCGAGAACAGGAGCCGTATCTAAGAGTATGTTTCATGGATTAAGCAATTATTATTTTACCGGGGAATGTTTCTTTTCATTTCTCGCTATTGACAAGGTCTATCTGCACCGTTGTTTGCAATAATCATAAGGAAACCGTCATGGATATCGGTTTCTGCTCATACGTTCCTGTTCTAGCTTGTTTTCCTGTCACGAATACAAGCTCCATCGTTGTCATGGTGTATTCTTCACGCTTGGGAGTTAAGAATGTCTAGCTGAAGTGGATCAGTCACTGTTGACAATTGATTCGGAATACTGAGCGCAGAAGTGACCAGAACAGTAAAATGCAGTTCACTGAATGGCAGACCGATTGCGAAATCCGGCACTGAATAGAGCTAACCGCATGTACTCTTCGCATGTGCCCTTCAAAACAGCTCCATCTTGCTTGATGTACTCCAGGAGGTTTACCACAATTTGTTAGATGCTTTCTAGATTTTCTTTGAAAAATAGAATTCTTCTCGAAGAGATCAGGAAAAATAACGTGTGAATAATATAACCAGAGAAAGATGATGAAAGCATTCATTAACTTGAGGATCAGCCTCCGAAGCCTCAGTATGGTCGGGGGTGGATGTCTAAAGCTGCACTGGTCATCCTTCCCTTGCACCTCGCGAAATGCTCCCATACGACCAAGCGTCTCAAATAGCGTCTGCTGAGGAAGCCCTAGTCACTGCCTTCTCATGGCGGAGGTGTTTTCCCACCAAAGTGAAAGGATGAAAACCAATGAGTACCTGTTAAAATGAGAAGGAAGAACGTCAAGAGACAGTTTAAACATTTGAGGGGATTAGGAGAGAGATCGGATGTGGCGGAAAATTGTTGAACGTTCTCCAAGTTGTCGGAACATTGCAAAGGATCAAAAGAATCAGAGATGGCTTGACATAAAACAGCATCGTGGTTTTACTCCAGAAGTGTACTGTTTCCCTTGTGGATTTTTTATTACATACCAGTCGGGGCGGACCCCATAGTCACGAAGACCTGCTATTCAGTGATGGTAACCGGCAACCTAAGCCCCTGGGCTTAGAGTGGCGAACCACATAAGGCCGCGCCAACTCAGCAGCCGGTGACA